CATCGCTGCCTACGCCGACGGCCAGAGGCCCGCGCATCTACATTTTTTCGCCTGACCCCATCAGTGCCGACCCAACTACACCACCACGCGCATGCCTCGCGGCGGATATGCGCAGCAGCAAGAAGGTTTCGGTCATCCCTTGAGGGTGAGTCTAGCCCTGCTCGCCAGAAAGACCCCCCCCTTCACTACAACCCATGTCTAAGCAAAAGCTTGTCGAGGAGCGAGGGGGAGAAGGGAGAGTTATATGTGTGGAGTCTATGTTTTCTGCCCTGTTTTGTTTGTGCGTGTGTGTGTTTCGCGCGTGCGGAGTACCGGCACTATTGGGGGTGACAGCAGTGCCGAACCGGCACTTTATCGGGCATGCTTTAATTAGTGCCGTTCTGGCACTATTGAGAGCTCCGCCTGTGTGCAGAGATTTTACCGGCACTATACCGGGCATCTGGCACTATTCAACCGGCACTAAAAGGGTCCCTCGACTGTACTGGATAGAGACCGCCGGGATGATTTTTAATGTGAAGACAACAACAACAACAACAACAAAGAAACACCGAAGGTTTGCCCTCGGGACCGCAAGTGGTATGCGGCGTGCATGCAGGTGCCAATCACAAAAAAGTACCCCTCGTGCAGGCCACAACGGAGAATACCACCGCCACTGCACCTAGATCAAACTGGAACATGCAAATTTTTTTGAGAAAGCACCTCACCTCGTACTTTTCGTCCTTGAACGCCTCCCAAATCTCGAGATGGATGTCCCGGGTCGTCCCCTTCTGCTTGGCGTCCAGCTCCTTCTTGCTCAGCTGCAACCTACTGGCGCCAAACCTCTCCCTGAACTGCGGATGCATTAGAAGTTTTCAAAAGCGAGGGACGCAGTGCTTGCTCTTCCTCCGCTGTCCGATGCCCTCGCCCCGCCCATCGGCGCGATCTTCCTCCTTGATCGCCGCCATGATGGCGGCGACCGTGTACGACTTGCCATCACAGTCGTACATCTTGTTCGGCTCGGGGCTGAGCCCACTCCGGATTGCAGCGCGTACCGCTGTGATGAGGTCTTGAGGAACTCGTTGCGCCTCCGCGCTAGATGCTGGCGGCTTCGATGGTGGCGTTCCACCTGACAATACCATCAGCGCCAACGAGCGGGGGATGGGCAGGGCCGTGTCGGAGGTTGTTCATACATTACACACCCCTATGCATCTCTCGGTACAAGCTCGCCGAAAACCTGGCTGGCGAGGGCTTCCTTGCTTTTGCAGCATTTGACACTTACGGTAGGGTTGGACGCTGCGCTTCCGTGTCAGGACTGCTTGTTCGCAGAGCATCTACTGTAACTCACTTCCTCGACTGCTTGCGACACCTAGGAATTGGTACGACACATGCCGTGCCTGGATCGGACCCACAAGGCATCGCCTCCTCTTTTCTTTTTTTCTCTCACGCCACGAAGAAAGAAAAACTGCTGGGATGGTATCGTCCAAAAATAAATCTGTTGTGTGGTTGCTCCCCGCTGTCGAAACACAGCACGCTTTTTCTCCCAAATGCAACACCGCAAAATCACGAACGTAGGAAAAGCAACACATTTCAACGGAGCTACCCAAACTGGAACATGCAAAAAAATTGAGAAAGCACCTCACGTTGAACTTTTCGTCCTTGAACGCCTCCCAAATCTCGAGATGGATGTCCCGGGTCGTCCCCTTCTGCTTGGCGTCCAGCTCCTTCTTGCTCAGCTGCAACCTACTGGCGCCAAACCTCTCCCTGAACTGCGGATGCATTAGAAGTTTTCAAAAGCGAGGGACGCAGTGCTTGCTCTTCCTCCGCTGTCCGATGCCCTCGCCCCGCCCATCGGCGCGATCTTCCTCCTTGATCGCCGCCATGATGGCGGCGACCGTGTACGACTTGCCATCACAGTCGTACATCTTGTTCGGCTCGGGGCTGAGCCCACTCCGGATTGCAGCGCGTACCGCTGTGATGAGGTCTTGAGGAACTCGTTGCGCCTCCGCGCTAGATGCTGGCGGCTTCGATGGTGGCGTTCCACCTGACAATACCATCAGCGCCAACGAGCGGGGGACGGGGAGGGCCGTGTCGGAGGTTGTTCATACATTACACACCCCTATGCATTCCTCGGCACAAGCTCGCCGAAAACCTGGCTGGCGAGGGCTTTCTTGCTCNTATGCATTCCTCGGCACAAGCGCGCCGAAAACCTGGCTGGCGAGGGCTTCCTTGCTTTTGCAGCATTTGCCACTTACGGTAGGGTTGGACACTGCGCTTCCGTGTCAGGACTGCTTGTTCGCAGAGCATCTACTGTAACTCACTTCCTCGACTGCTTGCGACTCCTAGGAATTGGTACGACACATGCCGTGCCTGGATCGGAGCCACAAGGCATCGCCTCCTCTCTTTTTCTCTCTGACGCCACGAAGAAAGAAAAACTGCTGGAATGGTATCGTCCAAAAATAAATCTGTTGCGCGGTTGCTCCCCGCTGTCGAAACACAGCACGCTTTTTCTACCAAAGGCAAAAAGCAAAATCACGAACGTAGGAAAAGCAACACATTTCGACGGAGCTACCCAGGTCCCATGCAAGCCTTGAAAGAACAGGCTCGTGGCAACACCACCACGAGCATTGTCTGGTGATCATTGGGTCTTCACCTGTTGCCTTGTCCTCCAAGTCAGCGAGATACGGACTGCTCCTGCTCATGATGTCGAGCTGCGTCAACCCCGCTGCCATCTTGTCTGTGTCGTTTGATCTCGAGTTGCCGGTGAGGGTCCGCAGTGCGCAGGCTTCCCTGAGCAGGTAAGCCGACCACTTGTTGTAGCTCTTGTTGCGGTTGCGATTCAGCGAGCTTTGAGACGCATGGTCCTTGCCACTGACTCGACCGCCGCGCTGCTGCCAGCTCCGCTCAACCTGCCCCCGCCAGCTCCGCTCGAGCTTCCCCCGCCAGCTCCGCTCGAGCTGCCTCCGTCAGCTCCGCCTGCTCCCCTGCCGTGTTGTCAGCCACGGTCATATTCCTCTGACTTGCTGTCGCTGTTCCCTGAGTCGTTGCTTGTTGAGCCGACACGGATGGACCCTCCGACGGACGTAAAATTGAAACGTGCGTCCTGGAGGATGGCATTCACTTCACGAGAACGATGGTCCGCCGCGCTTCTTGTACCCGTTCTCTGCTGCGCAGAAGCAGTGGACGCCACGTGACCGGGCCCCCCAGCTACGCCCTCGCTCTGCGTGTTGGTGTCAGAAGCGCCTCCCGTGTTCGAACGAGCGGTCCCCTTGAAGCCAGGCAGAGGGTTCGGGCTGCTGGACTTACAACAAGCCGCCACCGCCGACAGCAGCCCCGAGAGACCCGTTGTGTTGGTATTTCGCCGGGACTTTGGTGTGACGACCACGCAGGGTTGTCGTGGTCTCCACGCTGCTGTCCATGGTGTCGATATGTGGGCTGTGTGTGGTACATCGCTTGCGTGTTGCTGCACGTGTCACGCGCGGCTCTTTTTTTTTGGAGCAACTCCACATCACAGCAGGTCACAGCGTTTGACATGACTCTTCTTGCTTCCAAACTTTTGTAACAAAAGTTTGGAGTTTTTGGAACGAAAGTTTGGAGTGTTTAAAACGGCCCGATTCGTACTTGTGTGTGCATACTTCAGGCTTTCCGGTTGTGCCCAAGTGCATTCTGCTTCAAGTTATCGCTGGCGCACAGGAGTAAGGGTCCACATTGCGATGCATCTCGCCAGGCCCCCCCTACGTGTGCGTCTCGGCGTCTCTTTTCAACCGAATGCCATACCACGAGGCCTGCTGCTGCTACTGCTGCTGCTGCTGCTGCTGCTGCTGCTGCTTCTGCTGCTGCTGGTGTGCTGCCGACGGTTGCAGGTTTTTTCGTTATTTTTCCCGATTTCACATTCGTTCGTGCGTGGACATGTCTCGGCGCTCCCAACAATGGAGCACTCATTGGTACGTTAGGTGCCATGCCTCGCGGGCGGGGTGTGCTACCTCAGCCGCGGGCGGACAGTGATATTGCTAGAGCTACGCCATGTGGATACTCATGTTCAGTAGTTCACAGCAACAGCAGTTCGGGGTGAAGACAATGTGTCTGCCTCTCTCTCTCGATCGAGTCCCCCAGTTCACGCCCTGCACGTACATACAGCAGTCACCGATGAGAACCCTGATTTGTGTTTGTGCTGCTATGTACCAAACGTTTGTGTGAGCAAAGGGGTGGCGTGTTGATGCGACGATGTGTACTCGTGTTCGTGTGGGAGATACCAGTAGGTAGTTGTGCAGAGAACGGGAGACGGTGGTTGAAATGTGTGTTCCATAGAAGCCTTTTGATGATGTCAGGGTTGAAGGAAAAAAAAATTCAGATCCAGGGAAAACCAACAAGGGTTGAGAACAGGAAGATCCGTTCGCTTATCCCGAAAGAACGCATTCCAACCAATCAGAGCAGATGGACGCTGGCTCTTTCTAGCCTTAAACTGAAACTCGATTCTGATGTATATCTTCGATTCTACGGCCATGCATACGAAGTGTGAAGAATAAGAAAGGGTCAACAACAAATACGGAGGGTGAAGAATCACGCCACCGGCTCGCTGGGCTCGCTCCAGTACCGGCTCTCTTTAACATTCATCGGGCAAACTCTGCAATTTCCCCGCCGGAAAAACAATAGCGCTTTTCTGGCCCTGGGATCACCGCTGTACCCGCCTGCAAAGAGTATACATATGATATGCATATGACCGTTGCTACGAAGACGACGACGAGACATCGCTTCGACGCAGAAGAATCGGGCTGCCGCTTGCTTGCCTATGGATGCCGGTCGTTTTATGAAAACACTCTTCCCGTATATCTTGGTGCTGTAGCCCGCAGGTAGAATGTTTGGTCTCCTGACCTGATTTGCATCGCTTGCTGCTGACTGTTGGCGGGGTATTATTTGAGCTGAGGTATTTCGCCTCCTGTCACACACGGACGGTAAAACTAAAAAAACCGCACTTGGCTGGCCTCTCACACCCGCACTCTTCTTAGAAGCACCCATCAGAACCACAGCAGCGAAGGGACAAGAGCTCTTCTTCCTCCAGGTACGGGGAGGTGCTTCTGTCTATGTAGGCGGTAGGCCGTGTGTGAGCGCAGTCGTTGATGAACAACAGCAGCATACCTATTGCATCGGCGATTCACGTTTGGGAGCCCTGCTGCCACAGGGAGTATTTGTTGCCTCTCGCTAGCTCCCTCTCGCATCTGCTCGGTGATAGGATGTACGCAAACTTTTTGGAGTGCGGGTGTCCCCCCGCCGCATCACGGCATGACATGACCTGTGGAGGGAGCAACCCAGTACACGGTGAGGACTGCTGGCGTGCTTAGGCTGCTTACAGCGGTCCCGGCGAAAACAAGCGTAGCGATGTAAGGGGGAGAGCTACAGTTGGCGCCCACAGTTGAGAAACGCTTATTTCAGGTCCAGCCTCGAATTCTTGTTGTGGGCTACAAGGGGCTTCGCGGCGGGGCCCCTTGAGGCTGCCTGCCGCTCCGCCGAAGGGTGAATGCGATGTCAAGTGCGCGTGTGTTTGAAGTAGTTGTTGATGAGGGGCGGTGTGGAGGGTTGTTCATCACTGCGGGTTTGTTTGAAGATATGCGTGACAAACCCAGCACTTGGAATGCGGAGTCGAGAGGAGAACGAAGGAATTGAAGCTGTCAACCTTTGCGTGGAAGGGATTGAAGAAGTTGACCAAAAAGCCAGCTGTAACACCGGAGACGAACTCGGTGTAGAATTAGAATTTAAGAACGCCGGTAGAAGAAGAGCTACTACTACTACTGCTGTACTGCAGGAAACCAAATGGAAATGTGGCGAGGGTAGTCCTGCGCCCTACGATTGGAAGAAAAAAAAACCACTTGAGTCCCAGAATAGAGAAATGACAAACGAGGGCAACGGGCATGGGAGAAACGTGTGAAAAATCTCAAACCACTGAATGCGCAAATTGAAGAGACGTGCAGGGAACGTGTGGACGAAAAGGCCACCACTCGAATGAAGGAATCGAAAGCAGAAAAGCCGTACGCGGCAATCTCGTACCCTGTACTGTAGGAAAGGAAATCGAACTGGGGCCTGTGCCGAGGGTAGTCCTGCGACATCCACGAGTACCCAGAAGAAACATGTGACAAACGAGGCCAAAAGGCATGCGAGAAATCTGTCAACACTGAAACCACTGAACGCGTACTTGAAGAGACATGCAGGGCACGTGTGGATGAAGAACTCACCACTAGGATGAAGGAATCGAAAGCAGGAAACTCTGCGAAGCGTAGCTGTGTGCATGCTGGAAATTGTCAAAAACTCCAAAACCTTGAAAACATGCAAGCCATCGGAGGAATAAGATGAATTACTCCTTTACTGCATGAGAAGAAATCGACCTGGGATAGAGGCTATTCCCGCGCGGCACAAAACGAAATCCACTGCTCTTGGCAATATTCCTCGAAATCGGCCTCAAAAGTCTCGAACTCCACGAGTTGGGAGTCTTCCGCGGTAGGAAGAGCTTTCTCGGCGTGGGCGACTCAACTTCCCCACTCAGAATCCGTGTAGAAGGATTCCTGGTAGAGATCGATGTAATGCTCGGTGAGCAGGGCCTCGAAACGCTCGTATTCAAAGAGTTGTTGATCGTACGGCATGTTGATGGTTAGACCTGCTGCGACGAAAGTAATTGATGGGGAACGGAAAGAGTTAGTATGCAGGAGGAGTAGTGAAGCGATGACACGTTGTAGGTGAGATATATTGCTGACGGATCGGCATGTCAGGATTGGGGAGAGAGGCTGGTGACAGGAAAACGTTGATGGAAACGTCGTGGACGCGCTCGGCAGCAACTATTTCAGGTCGACCAAGATACGCTCTCGGGTGGGACATGATGTGGAGGTAGGTAATTGTCATAGTTGTACTGGCGAGGATTTTCTCCGAGAATGTTGAGGTACTCAGAATTAATCCCTGCTGTGATTGGATTTTGAAGGCTGGGATCGTTGCGGTTTTGGTGCATGTATTGAAAAACTTCTGAGCGGACTTGGGCGTGTTTGTGAGGATTGTTGAATATACGTCTTGAAATACCGCGGAAGCCGCAGGCACCATCACCTATCTCGCTGACAATAGACCATGTGTTAGGTGGAGGAGGAGTATCGGGGGGAGGGATAATATCGGGGGGTGGTATGTTAGGAGGAATGTTAGACGGAGTTGAAAGCGGGGAAGACGTCTGGCCGGTGGCGGCTTCTGTGAAAGGATCGTAGACGCAATTTTGGACATGCGCGATGGAGTTGTGGGCACGATCCGGAGGCACGAGGACCATAACGGAACGCCGGTTTTTTGCCCTGCTGAGAGCAATATAGAGGTGCCCGTGGGCGAAGCAGTCGGAACGCAAATCAAGACCAATACGAGACAAAGTTTGACCTTGGCTCTTGTTTATAGTCAACGAATATGCTAGTCTGAGAGGGAATTGTACACGGTTGAATGTAATGCCATTTCTTCCTACTTGCGTGTGAAATGAAATGTGAGGAATAAGAACGATAGAGTTATCGTGATTCAATAGTTGTAGTACCTGAACCACACGAGAGTTGGGTGACACGTCACGAATGACGACCCTCCGAAAAAATCAAGTTTCTGATCAACATGGCGAGAGCATCCGATTTTAAATCATGCTGATGAGGAGGAACGCCTGGTACGTCAATATTATTCAGATTTTCGGTAGAGCAGAAGGCGGTGCAAGATGAAGGATTGTTGTGATCTTTGATGAGTGTGTCTGACCTGTAGAACGAGACGTGGTTACCATGGCGCCTGGAAGATATGTCGTTGTTGCATGAGTCGATTGAGGTGTTGGTAGTAGCTAGAATGGCGCGTTCGTTAAGTTGATGTGCGTCTTCGTGGATGTTAGGGTATACGAAGTTTACCAACTCGTCGAAATTCGTGGTGTATTGCAGAGAGAAATGGTCGTCTGTAGAGGTGTCCTGTGTATTGGAAAGCGGGACGAGTTTTGCACCGTCTTCGAAGGTGGTGGATGGTTGTCTGTTTTCACCGATGGATCGGACAAAAGAGGCAT